ATAATAGATAAAGTTCTAGTACCATCCCAACATACATATGTTTGATGCCTAAGTTTACATGTGAATTGTCCTTCCAAAAGTTTGTGTGTTGAAGGGGTTTCTCCTCAGATGGTAGATCCAGTCATTGAGAGGTAGATGGATAAAGTGAGCTCTGACTTAACCAATAGATTAAACCATAACCTGGTTCCTAATTTGATGCCATTATTAAGAAGTGATGGACATTAAAATGAGGGTCCTGTTTAGAGGAGGGACATCTATCCAACTGTGTCTATGAAAGGAGAATATTGAGTTGGGAAGTTGGCTCAGTGGTACACTGCTTGCCTCACACCCATGAGGCCCTGGATTCAATTCCTCAGCATCACATAAGCAGAATAAAGCTGGAAGTGGTACTATGACTCAAGTCGTAGGGTGCTAGCCTTGAGCTGAAGAGTTGAGGGACTTCACCCAGGCCCTGAGTTCAGCCTCCACGACAAACAAAAAGAAAACCAAAGGAGAATATTGTCCTCCCACCTTCCTCTTTCTCTCTGCGTCCTAGCTGCAGTGAGTGAGGAGCTTTCTCCACCGCACCATTCCACCATGATGTTTCTGCCTTGTCACAGACCAAAATGCAATGTAGACTGTTAGCCACCAAGTGAAAACCCAAAACTATGACATCCAATAAATCTTTCTTCCTGTAACCTGTTTCCTCAGGTGGTTTGTCATTATTTTAAGTAGAGAAATACAGTAAGCAAGATCCACACCTCACTGTGCCCTTCTTGGGAAACACCTCAAACAACTGCGCTCCTATTTATTATAGATGTGGACATATAAGGAAGTGAGGAAGATCTGATTTATCCGCACACAGCTTTAAAATTCCTAGGAGATGTCAGCAGTTATTCGTAGTTTATGAGCCTCTTGTTATCTGCTGTATCTCTAGGCCTACGTATTCAATTGCTATTTTAAGTAAGAGTTTGAGTGTCATAAATTAGTACATAGTTTCTGTAGGAGCACATTTTCTCCAAGCATTACACTTTATTAACTACTATGAGCTATAAACACTGAAAGGCAAAGTCTGTGGAATACAAAATGACCTCCCTACATACTACACATGAATGCAGAGTGGGGTTTCTTAGTGACATTTAGAAAGCATATCAGAGAGAGTGTGAAATCACAGAGTCAGAACTGACAGGTTACTTGCTCTACACATGGAAGAGAAGGGACACTGTCAAAGAAGGAAGTTTACATTCTAGGTGCTGGAAAAGTCAAGGGACATATTCTCTCTGACATTCTACAAATAAGAATGTAGTCTGCCAGAACACTGAGTCTTGACTTTGACTTCTACCCCCAAAACTATTGATTGCTCTTTTTTCCTCTTCAAATCACAGAGACCTTGGTCAATTACTACAGTAAACTACTACAAAGGCTTCTACCTGAGTTTTCCTATAGGAAGCTTCCATGCAAAAGATCTAAGAGGCACTATGCCTCTTCATTTTTTGTTGAGCAATGGAAGATTTCTTGTCTAGAAATCAGGATATAAAAGCTCTCAGGCATATGGAGGAAGTAGGCAAGTCAAGGACTGTGTGGGTTGCAAGCAGCTGAACAAGTTCTGAAGGGGGATTTTGTTCAAAGAAGAAGTACCATCGATCTGCTTCATAACTTTGTAGACAGTAATAATTTGCCACATCTTCAGGCTAGATGCTGCTGGTAGTGTGAAATCAGTCCCAGACTCACTGCCAGTGAACCAATCAGGGACTCCAGATGCCCAAGTGGATGCCCAATACGTGAGCAGTTTAGGAGCTTCTCCACATTTCTGCTGCCAAGCCAAGTAGTTCTTATTTTTTGCTCCATAACACACCCTGACCGCACTGCAGTTGATGATGACCCTCGCTCCTGCGGACATAGTCAAGGAACTTGGAGACTGAGTAACCACAATGTCCCTGTAAACACCTGCAAATAGGAATGCACACTGATCAAACATAGGTATACACAGACTTTATAACATAAATACAAATATTGAAATAGTTCATCAAAACCTACTCAATATATATACATAAGTATCTACAGAGCTATTAGTCTACAAATGGAAATGTAGTATAACTTCTAAGTGACATTTTTAAATGTCTCACTAGACGTCCAAAGTAGCAGGAGCACGAGGAGTTGGGTCTGTGCCGCCATCTTGCTGTCCCACATGATCCAGCTTAGTTCCCAATTCAGAAGGACTCAGTTATCAAAGCTGATAAGCAGCCTAGAGGGGCCTATGCAAAGCAATCAGCATAGAAGGAAAGAAATCACCGGAGCAGTGCATTGTGAAAGCATCTGATGTAAATCAATAGCCTAAAATAGCATCAAATGTGCAACTAGAAAAGTCAGAGAAGTCAGAAGCCCTAAACTCAATCTCAAGAACCTAAATTAAGAACCACTAGATGGCAAAGTAGTAGAGCTTCAGGGTTAAATTGAAATTTTATATTATTTAAATTGAGTTTTACAGAAATGGTAGGCAAAGAGGTTCAATCAGATAATCCTAGGGAAACAAAGAAACATGGAGTTATTTTGTTCTTTGTTTAGGAAATACAAGTAGGAAATAGCAACAAAAATTAAAGAATAGGACAAAGAGGAAGGGTAGGAAGAGGGGAGAAAAGAAAAATTGAGCAAAGAAAGGATGGGGAAAGACAAAGGGAAAGTGACAAATTTGAACTGCAGTTTGAACTCAGAGGCTCACATTTGCTCTACATGCTTGCTCCTCAGGAGCTCTACCACATTAACCATGTCTCCAGTAGAGCTTTTTGATGGTTATTTTGGAGATCAAGTCTCTGCCCATTTTAGCTTCAAACCTCTACCCTTCTGCATAGATAGCACTGGAGTGTGAGCCACTGGTGCTAGGCCTCAGGGTATGTTCTTTCCAAAGTGATTTAATGGATCTTAAGCCTTAAGCATAACATCAGAAATATTATTGACAACATTCACCACAGTGACCATCTTGGAAGCCCAGTCTTTGATTCAAATTGCCCTGAGACAATAAAGTACTGCATTCCATCTTTTTAAAAAGAAAAAAAAATGATTCTCTTTCACAAATCTGGACTCATGATGGCAACTGAGTAACATCCATGACAATGGGAAGGACTGGCATATGGGAAGGATTTTTCTAAGTTCATTCAGAGGAGGAAAAAATGCCATAAGTATTCATTACATCTGATGAAATCAAGATGTTATTCTCTTAAGAAATATTTTTGACTAGGTACCAGTGGCTCATACCTGTAATCCTTGCTGCTCAAGAGGCCGAGATCTGAGAAATATGGTTGTAAGCTAGCCCAGACAGGATAATCCATAAAACTCTTATCTCCAATTAACCAGAAAAAAAGCCAGAAATGGAGATATAGTTCCATATATTTAGTGCCAACCATGAATGAAAAAGTTAAGAGGCAGTACTCAGGCCCTGAGTTCAAGCTCCAGTATTGGCACAATAAGTAAAAATAACTAAGAAATATTTTTGTTAGGTATCAGTGGCTCCTAACTACACATACAACTGAGATCCAGAGAACTGTGATGCTAAATGTGCCTGGGCTAAAAATTATATGAGACTCCATCTCCAAAATAGCAGCAAAAAGCAAGAAGCAAGGCCTCACTGAAGTGGTAGAGTGTCAGCATAGCAAGTTTAAATCCCCTCAAACCAAGTACTTCCAAAATAGTGGGGGGGAGTTTTTATGAATCTGATATATCTAGAAATAAGAATGACAGAATGTTTGCCAATTTATAAATCTGTTTCCCACAAATCTTTTTTTATTGTGAAAATACTGTACAGAGGGGTTAAAATTACATGGGCAAGATAATGAGTACATTTCTAATCAAGCATTGTAGCACCCTCCTTTGTTTCCCCTTCCTATCCCTTCCCATCCTCCTTCCGCCCCGCCCCCTTCCCACAAATCTTATATTTACTATTACAGGATAATTTCCAACCTTTGCTCTTGTATTGAACTGGAAAATTGGCTATTTAGCTGGAACAGAAATCCCAGTGCTCCTCATTGGCAAGTTCTCTTCACATGAGCATCACAGAGTTTTATTCACTAGATCCAAGGAAAAGCTCTTTCCAGCCTTTCTTTCTAACATGTTTGTCTACTTGGCAACTATCAGCATAGCTCAAGTCTGTGCTGTCAAGGTAGGAAACTGAAGGGCAATACTTGGGAGGACAAAGTTGTTTATCTACTTAGCTGGGAAGGAACCAAATAGGCACTGCTCCCCTCCAAGAGACCAGTCCCCACACCTGCACTGCACTGAGTCTCTTTGCTGTCTTAGAGAGGTTGGTCCATATGCACCTTCTCTCCTCCTTCTGCCCCAACAAACACATCCAGATGTTCCACATGGCCTCCTATTGCCCACTAAGGCACACAGCATGGAATTTATCTTTGCTTGTTTTTCAATACAGAAATTGTTTAACTCAACTAAAATGCCTCCTTCCATACCCTTTAAGTCTTACCACGTTGCTGCAGCCAATATTCAATTTGCATAGTGCTCCCTAGGGAGGAGCCTCTTTGCTAAGGCTAAGATAAAAGCTCATCTCACATGCTAAGTTCAGGACTCCACATTTCAATTTCTCAAGATGATGTGCCCTGCTCAGCTCCTGGGGCTGCTAATGCTTTGGATCCCTGGTAAGGGCACAGAGAGATGAAGGAGATGAGGGAGGAGATGGGGTGTTCAGGTGGGGTCTCGGCACACCACTGCTGCTGTTGTGTTCTCTCCACATGTGGGGTGTGTGGATCTCATACTTCAGGACTGCACGTTATGCTTACAGCTATGTGGGGCAAGAAGATTCCAGAGCATCTGGACATAGATGCTGCTGAAAATTGTTCTATAGAATGAGATAGTAAAGACAAAGTCCTCTGTGTGCAAATCTTAACTTCCTGCTTTGAAACTGAATGTTTACAATCCAAATAAAATTCCAAATAATAATTTAGTACAATGGAGGAAATTTATGAAACCTGCTAAAAAGTTTTATGTGACTCCCCACTTGACTTCCTTCTTTCTAGGATCTAGTGGAGATGTTGTGATGACGCAGAGTCCTCTCACTCTCTCTATCAAACCTGAAGAGCCAGCCTCCATCTCCTGCAAGTCCAGTGAGAGCCTCCTGCATAACGATGGAAACACATACTTGAATTGGTACCTGCAGAAGCCAGGCCAGTCTCCACAACTCCTGATCTATACGGTTTCCAACCAAGTTACTGGAGTCTCAGACAGGTTTAGTGGCAGTGGGTCAGGCACAGATTTCACACTGAAAATCAGCAAGGTGAAGCCTGAGGATGCAGGGGTTTATTACTGCGGGCAAGGCACAAAACTCCTTAACACTGTGCTACAGCCCAGAGCAAAAACCTCCCTGCATGGGGCAGCCCAGCTGTGCCCATGTGCTGCTTGCCTGGGGACCAGCAGAGCAGATTCTCTGAGTCTGTGTGCAAGGTTAAGGTTGGGGAACTCAGAGCCACAAACTGCAGCTGAGGTCTCCATCCCATGGGGGGCCTCAGCTACACTCAACGAAACCCTATTGATGGTCAGCTGCAACAGATGCCCATAGCACTTCAGGCAGATATTTACAAATACCCTAAGTGACTTATACTCAAAGGAAGCTTCCAGAAAGTCTAAAAACATGTCTTCTTGCAAAGATTATCCCACAAAAACTGGAAGGTGGTATAGATGACTTCTAGATGGGACTTGTGTTTTGTCAATTCCGTTCTTTCTTCAAATTGAGATATAAACCAAATCATAAACACACCAATATGACTTCACTTTTAAAAAGTAATACAAGGAAAATCATGAAAACAGCTTAGAATGTTTTCACCTAATCTTGTAGTTCTGATTTCAGGATCCCATGGGGATAATGTGATGCTGCAGACTCTGCTCTTTCTATCCATCACCCCTGGACTGAAGCTCTAGAAACCTGATAGAGGGCCTCTCATAGTAGCTCACACCTGTAATACCAGCTACTCTAGAGGCTGAGATTAAGAGGATTGCAGTTAAAGCGAAAACCAAGGAAAATTAACAAGACTCCATCTGAGCAAACAATCTGGCTTGATGGCACACATCTGCAGTTCCAGCTATGTATGAGACTGTAGGTAGGAGAATCTTTGCCAACTCTGAGCAACAGTGAAAGAGTTTACCTTAAAAGGACTATTGGTAGCATGTGGCAAGTGGTAGAGTGTGTAGCATGCAGTAGGCCCTGAGGTCACACCCCAGTACTGGGGGGAAAAAGACAAGAGAAATGAAGACATCCCTTCTAGGTGGCACCTGAATTCACTAGACATTCCATGGAAAATAGTGCCCACCATGAATGCCTCTGAATCTTTATTAATTGAATGGTTACTAAAGGTCCTAAGTACAGGCACCTTAGATCAGATTGCATTTGACCAGTTCATCAGGGCAGAAGCAAGTATGCAAAGGTGATTGCACCTGCATTATATACTGTGCATGATATGGTAGCAAATGGCATTCAAGACAGAACTTAGAGCTCTGATGGGGAGGAGGACCACAGAAGGGAGGGCTCAAAGTGGGAAGGTCAGCAGGAAATGCAGGGCAAGGAACGAACTCAATGTTTAAGACTCTGGAACATAAAAATAGCGAACAGTGCCATGTTATAGGAAAATGACTCACAAAAATGGAGAGAAAATATGAGGCAAAAGGAAATATTATTTGCAAAACAAGGCAAGTGGTGCTTATATAGAAAGATTTTGCTTCCTCACTAAGAAAGGATGATATTAAGACAAGCATTCTGAAATGTGTAAAGGGATAGGTACATGTAAACTCACACTGGCTGCACATACAACATGGAGAATATCTTATGCAGTTTAATATGTGTATGTGGCCAAGTGGGGTCACTTGGGCTGCTAATCCTTACATTTAGAGATGGAGATCCGGAGAACTGTGGTCAAATCATCTCACCTACAGAATTGTTCATTTTCCTCACATCCCACCAGCACTTGTTGTTGCTGGTGTTCTTGATGGTGGATATTCTGAGTAACTGAGTGTGGCTGTGGTCCCCTAACACAGAGACCTCATCTGTAGTTGATGGTCTGGATCTACAAACTCACCCACACACACAGGCTCAGAGAATGTGCTCTGTTGGTTTCCAGAGAAGCAGCACATGGGGAGAGCTGGGCTTCCACACACAGGGAAATTTTTTGCTCTGGGATGTACCACACGGGTAAGATACTGTGTTCCTTGGAGGCAGTAGTAAACTCCAGCATCCTTAGCGGGGTGGATATTGCTGATTTCCAGAGTGAAATCTATACCTGACTGTATGGGACTCAAGTGGCCTTTGGGAAGTCTTATAAATTGTTTGCCATAGATAGAGTCTGGCCTGGCTTCACATGAAATTGAGTCATTCGCAGAGAAGTGGGTAGATCTGGGACCTTCATGGTAAGCAAGCCAAGTTCAGAATATCAAAAATGTCATGCTTTCTCCCATGTGTGCTTGCTAAACCTAAAAGATAACTATACTTATAAATACACAAAGGATTGAGCTGGGAAGGTGGCTCAGTGGTAGAGTGCTTACCTTGCATGCATGAGGCCCTGAGTTCAATACCTCAGCACTCTGTAAGCAAAAAAGAAAAAATCCGGAAGTGGTGCTCTGGCTCAAGTGGTAGAGCGCTAGCCTTGAGCTGAACAGCTGAGGGACAGCGCCCAGGCCCAGAGTTCAGGCCCCACAACCGGACCAAAAAACAAACAAAAAAATACACAAAGGAATATTACATGACTGTAATATATGGAAATATGTAATAAACATATGTGTAAGTGTGGGACTGTTGGTGAGGATTGGAAGAGGACAAGAGAAGATTAAAGAGTGACCAATATTTAAATCTATTGCATTTGTGGATAAAAAGAGCAAAATGAGACTCACTGAGGTCTGGAATAATAGGGTAGTGGGGTTAAGAAATGTGACATTAAGTGAGGGGTGCAATCTCATTAAAGTAGCAAATATGCTAATTCCATTTGAATGACTACCATACACTAAAAATATAAATAAAGTCATCAAAATTGGGGATGATTAGTGAGGGTGCAGGAGAGTGAATATGATCATCGTACTTTATATACATGTATGAAAATGGAACAATTAAGTTGTGGAGATTGGTTTGGGAGGGGATAGAGTGTGAGAGGGAGCAAGCCTGATCAAGATTCAACGCTTACAAATATGGACTTGTCAAAATATAACCTCTGTACAACTAATGGATGCTAATATAAAGATGTTAAAAACCTGTACCCCTCTGTACAATATTTTCAAAATAAAAATATGTACTGCAGACAATAGAGTATAACACCTATTAGTGTAATATTTATAGTAGGCATCATAAGTAATCCCCCCAAGAGGATCTCAAGTGTACAGTAGAATGTAAATATGTCAGGTGGAAATAATACATAACATTTTCATGTAAGCATCCACTGAGTTTTGCATACACAGCAAGTCCAGGATATTGAATTGTGACTCTGTAAATAACATGGACACACATTAATAGTAATGAGATCCTACTGAGGAAGGAAGCATCCACTTTTCCACTGACTGAGTTTAGACTTTATGACTTTGCTAGGATAAACATATTATAAACTGTGTTAAATATTTAAATCAGGGTTCAGAAGAAATAATTTTATCCATGATTACAGCAAGAGAGGATTTTTTCCCCTTAGCTGGTTGGTTGACAGGGTCTGTGTCATTTTCTACACATCAAATTCCACAGCTATTTTTTAAAGCTCTCTTAGATAAAGCACAATATGTTAAAGCACAATAGTGCTGGGAAAGGAAACAGTTAATTACCATGAAACAGTGTTTATTGTTATAGACAGAAAACATCTTATAATAAATAAATAAATGCAATCATTTTATAAAGTAGATGGTGGAAATATACATGTGTGAATGTAGACATGTGTGCACATATGTTTGGATGATAGAGAATTACAGAGATAGAGATGTAGAAATAGACATAGATAAAGATAGAGAGACATAGATGACAGATGATAAAGATATAATCACTGCTCTTGGTAGCTGGCAAGCAAACTGTGTAGGCTCATGGCTTATACTATTCTACCATCTGCTGACAATCCTTTACAACTGGAAAAAGACTTCAGAATAAGTCATTTATTTGGTCAACAAGAGACCTTGGAATGTTTTTCTTTTCATTGCTTTCATTTATAAACTTTACAGAAGGTTTGATTATATATAAATACAGAACATATTGTAATCACTCCCAACTTCACAAATTAACATTTTTCAATCTTGTTTCACCTACCTGCTTGATACAAAGTCCCTCTGGAGCCCTACACACACACACACACACACACACACACACACACAAAGTTTGTTTAAGCCAATTATTACTAATTGATAACTGATGGGGACTTTTTTTAAATAACAATCATACCACTTGATACCTAACTTAGAAGTCATTTCTACCTGGTACCAACTCATACCAGTAACTCTAGCTGTTCAGGAAACTTATATGTAAGGATGAGTTCAAAGCCAGCCCAGGCAGGAAAATAAATGAAACTATTATCTCCAATTAACCATCAAAAAGCCAGAAGTGAAGCAGTGACTTAAGTGGTAGTATGCTAGCCGAGGACGGTGCCCAGATCCTGAGTTCTAGCCTCAGGACAGATGAAAAGCTTTTATGTACGAACATATTCAGAGTGCATAGCTTGGGCTTACTTATATCTTTTCAGGAACTAAATCTCATTGTCACAAAGATTTCAGATAAGGATGGAGAAATAATATTTGGATGACTTTTCCTTTTGTCTCCATAACACTAAGAATGCCCATGTTAATGGCATACTGCATAAGGAACTCAAGTTATAGTAAATCTAAGACCCACAATATCTTTCTACCACAATATTGGAGTTGGGTAGACTAAAGATACAATAATGAAGAAATCTAATGTGAAATGCCGTCATACACTTGTAGTTATTGAATTGTACAATTAAAGAATGACCTTTGAAAGAAAGGATGACTGAAAGACCTGAAGGGAAGAGGAAAAGACAGGATGTGAGGAGGTAGAACAGGGATGTATTTTGCTTGAAGTTGATCACAGAAGCTCAGCTGGAAAACAGGTGTAGTGACAGAAGTAACAAACTAGGAATACGATCTTCTAGATTTTAGGTATTGAAATAAGAGATCAGAGGCTTAATATTGGGGAGGAAATAAATTCAGAAAATAAATGGGTTTAAGTAAAAGAAAACAGAAAAATGGGAATAAGATCAAAATAGAAACATCAAGACTAAAAGGGGCTGGGGAAAAGAATAATTGATCTATTCAGAAGCACTAAAGACACCAACGCCAGTGGCTCCTGCTTATAATCTGAGCTACTC